CAGGGTTGATGGGAGCCCCAGCATGTGGCGGGGCCGGGCGGGGGGTGTGGGGTGTTGCGGGGAGCTCTCTGAGGACGGCGAGCGGCTACCCCCATCGTTGGCCAGCGGGAGCTGCAGGGCTGGGGGAATGAGAACCAGCGGCGGGAGGGGGTCAGCACCCAGCTGGCCTCAGTTCTGGCTCTGGCACTCTGGGAAGGGGTAGGGGGCCCTCACCTTCCCCACCCGGGCGTCCCCAGCTTAGGCCAGCACAGCCCCTGCCCTGCAGGGCTGGAGGAGCTGAGCTCTCCCTCCCCAACCCCAGCGGTGCTCAGGGTGTCGCTTCCCACCCCCAACCTGGAAGGTGCTGGCAGGAAGGGGACAGGCCCCAAGTCTACACTGACACAGAAATGAGATGGTGTCCCATGGCCAGGCAGCCTCCCTGTGTCCTTTTCCTCCCCATCTCTGCCAGGAAGTGTGCTAGGAGCTGCAGTGTCCACAGGCTGGACCACGAGAGGTCAGCATGCCCGCCAGGATCAGCCTGAGCGCCAGCCCTGCTGGCAGCACTGAACTTGGCCCCCAAACGAGAGTGAGGCAGGCTATCCCAGCGAGACGGCTGGTACGAGACCCCATGTTCTGTTCAGGGTCACAGAAGGCCCCCTTGGGCCAGTGGGCCCATCTGGGCGCCCCTCAGCCTGGCCTGCAGGGCTAGGGCCAACTGGGGTGGAGACAGGACCCAGGCTGGGCCTGCGTCCTCCAGGGGGGCTGGGTGGCACACCCCTGCGGGGGCTGGCAGAAACGGACAGGGGTGGTGCTGGGCCAGGCGGGGGCTTGGTTCTTTCTAGCAGCCTGCATGCGGACAGCTAGGGCATGCTACAGCAGGCGGGCAGGCAGTGGGCAGGCAGCGGGCACCCCAGGACGGGCAGGTGGCGTTAGGGGGCGGGAGGGCAAGAGACAGACAGACAGACAGGAGCCAAGACTCAGGGCCCAGCTGCCCAGAGGAGGCGCTGCAGAGACGGGTCAGAGAGGGGCTTGGGACAGAAGAACAGGTCCCCGAGGAGCTGGGGTCTCCCTGGCTGTGCTGGCCACGAGGTGAGGGAGCCGAGCCTGGGGGACCAGCGGGCCCTGGGAACTTCTCGCACTCAGGTGTCTGGCCCCTGGAAGGGCAACAGCTCGCTCGCCGAAGGGCACTGGCTCCAAGCACCGTCCAGGGCGCCCCTGCCTGTGAGGCCTGGGGCCTGCCCTCTCCCACAGTCCTCAGTGGTCACCCCCTCCCACTCTTGACTCCTTCTGCTTCCTCCCGCTGCTGCCCACAGCTCTGCAGGCTCCAGGAACCCAGGCCCAGTGACTACCAGGGGAGCGAACCCAACACCAGCCGCCGGCAGCCGGGCCCTTTCCTTGCCCTGCTGGCCCTGGACCCCACTGCAGCCAGGGGAGAGGCAGGTACAGGCCCCTAGCCTGCAGTTCCAGAAGGGGCGCCGTTCCTGCGAGGGGCTGGCAAGAGCAGGGAAGGGATCTGAGGACCAGGGGCATCCTATCCCGCTGCCGCCACACCGCCTGCCTGCTTCATGAGGGCCTCTGCTCTGCCCGTGGCCCGGATCACAGTCCCAATCCCTCCCTGGCTCCGGAGGGCCTTGTGATCCCCCACGCCCGCCCCAACACCTCTTCACCCGGAATCTCTGGAGACACTGACCAGTACCCCCCCCATTCCTGCACTCCACTGGAAGCTCATGGAGGGGGCGGGATCACACCCTGGCCTCCAAACCTCCCTTGGCGTCCTACGGGCCTCTCCCCGCCACAGTCCACCAGGCCTTTTGAGGCTGCCCTGGAGCCTGGGATGGGAAGGAGGCTGCCAGCCCACACACTGGAGCAGGGTGAGATGGGAGGTGAGGGCTCAGGTCGAGGAGAGAGGAGACACACAGAGGCCCGAGAACACAGGTCACAGAGGTGGTGACAGGCCACATGGCAGGTCGGAGGGCAGAGGGAGAGCAAGAGGGTGAGAGGGTAGGGTGGGGGGGAGGAGGGAGGGGCAGGGGGAGAGGGAGAGAGAGAGAGAGAAAGATTAGGAGAGATGATGAGACAGTGAGAGAGGCCTGGAGGGCACACACCGCCGACAGGAGCCACACACGTGAGGCCGCCGGCCCACATGCAGCACACACATGCACGTGCACACACAGACACACAGGGCAGGACACAGACCTCCCCACACATGCAGCCGGGGCAGAGCCCTCTGGTCCATTTGACATGGACACACACACACACACACACACAGCAACCTAGCCACACGTACATACCACCACCCACAGGGCCAGACCCCCACCCGCTCTCTCTCAGTGCAGGCGCAGCCCGACTTCCCACCATGGCTGCTCCCAACCACGCTGGTGCCTGTGCTCAGGGCCTGGCTGGGCTGTCTCCTCTCCCCCCACCTCCTATGTCCTCCGAGACTGCTGAAACCTCACCTTCTCCAGAGGCTTCCTGGACTGGCCCCTGCAGAGTCCCTCACCCTGCTAGAATGTTCTCCCTCAGGAACACTCTCCCTGTCCACAGCTGCCCCCACCCCTCCAACCCGCTGCAGCCTCAGCTCCACAAGAAGGGCTTGGTGCCTCTTGATCGCTGCTAGGTCCCCGGGACCCAGGACAGGTGCGGCACCTGGAGGGGCGCTACGCGTTCATGTGATTGTTGAGAGGCTCAGAGAGGCACATCCACCCGCCTGGCACAACTTTCTCTCTCACTTATACATACATGCGTGCCCCCTCGGCAGGCCACGGACTCCCCTCAGAGGGGAACCCATTCCTCCTACAGGGAGTCCAAATCTGAGTGGAAGGGGGAGGAGGAGGAGGAGGAAAAGGAGGGGAGAGCAGAGAGGAGGCCAGGCTGGGCCGACGCTGGCTGTGTGGAGGGAGAGAGTGAGAGAAGACACAACACACGCAGAGCATGGAGGGGTTGGCATTCTGCGGCCTGGGCAGCGGTTAGGTCAATGGTGCGGAAGTCCAAGCGGTGATGATAAAAAGGCTGGTACCTGCTCGTTGGGACGGGGCAGGAGCAGGGCTTAGAGTGATCACAATAACTGGATGGGGAAAAGGAAGAAAAAAAACAACACCACGATAAATCACAACAGAAATGACCGATTTGTCCAAAAGAAAAGAAATAAAATCATAACGAGGAGGAGGGGGAGGCACGAGGCACCAAACTGCAGAGATGGGGAGAAACCGGCAGAGATGGGAGGATGGGGAAGATGGGATGGAGCTGACAAAGACAGATGCCAGGAGGGTGCTCCTCGGGGGGCCTGCTTGCCATGGGCCTCACTCTGCAGGGGGACAGCCATCCCTCATGGCATCCAGGGCCCATACAAAACCCTGTCTCATCCACACAGGGGCCAGGGAGGACGGCCCTCCAAGACCCCACGGGGACCCTCTATGTCTTGGCCAGGCTTCCTGCCCCAGGCGGGATCCAACACCAGAATCTCCACCTCCGGGATTTCTCTGGATCCCCAAGAGACTCCCCAGGCGGGGAGGAACCCATGATGATCCAGGTCAGAAGAGGAAGGAATGGGGGCTATCAGGCCGCAAAGGTCAGGCCGGGTGACCAGGGAGTGGCTAGGGTACCCAGATACAAGGGGTGCCTTCCCTCTCCTATCAAGGTGACCCCACAGGGCTACATAAACAGTCAACAGAGTCACAGAAAAGATCACAGGGGAATGTAATTCACAGGCTCTGTGGGGAAAGGGAAAATCTGATTCCCTCCAGCTGAAAAGTTTGAGAGTCAGGGTTGCATGGGATACAGTGAGGAGTCTACATGTGGTCAGGCCAGATGTGTGTGGGGTGGGGAGAATAAGCTTTATCCAAGATGCCAAGATGTCAGGAAGACACAGTGGGATGGATCAGAAAAGAAGTGTATGTGTGCTTGGGGCGCACAGATATAATCAGACTGGCCTCAGGTGTCCCCTGGCCAGGTGGATGTGGATGTGAGGGTAAGGGGAACAGTCACTTGAGCCCAGGTGACAGTCCCCGGGCTGGGGTTTGGGTTATGTATTTCTGCAGAGGTTAGCCACACTGGCCAAGATGGTGGTACTGAAACTAGTCACATGGGTTTGAAGGGGCCTGGTGTATGTGGGAGAGGAACTGCTGTACCCAGTGACAAAGTTGTCCCCTGCTGGAAGAAGGGACCACTGGACACAAGGAGAGCAAGCGGGAGAAGGCTCAGATCGTGGGTGGTGGGGGGGTACAAGTGGTCAAGTGACCTCAGGTGTCCCCAGGCCAGGTGTGTGTGCCTGCGTGTGAGTGGATCGTCCGCCGAACCAGGATGACCAGCTCCCAGGCCGGGGGAGGAGGACTCTTGACAGTCACTGAGATGACGGGAGGGGAAGCATCCGGTCAGGAAGAATGTGTCTGTGTTTGCGGGGCGACCCGAATGTGGTCACGATCGCGTGGAGTAGGGAAAGACCGGCTCAGCGTCAACGACAGAGGCTCCGAGGATCACAGCGAGGGGGGCGGGTCGTCAGGTGGGGACCCGGGAACTAGGCTCTCAGCCTCGAAGGTGCGACACCCCGGCCAGGGGAGGGGCCGCCCTGGAGCTCGCCGGTCCCAC